GGGATCTGGTGCACCGTGGGGCATTGGAAGCCTACTCAACCCTTCTGCGTGCACGATCTACACCCCCTAGGTTTGTAGGTCAGGGTGTATTGGTATTGCATCAGGAGGAGTGCCCACCTCTGCAGGCGTGCGGAGGCTATGGTTTGTATGTTTTTCAGCTCCTAAAGAAACCCGAGGAGAGGCTTGTGGTCTGTTTGGATTGTAAATCTGTGCCCATAGACAAACTGGTGGAATTTCTTAAAAGCATAAGTCAAAACCAAGTACAGGGCAGAGTCTGGGGGCAGAGTCCAACAAACGCAATAGCCTCTTCCGAGAGGTGACATCAGACTTCTTAAAAAGACGATGGATATATTATATATATATATACAGGTTATACAGGCATCTCCTCTGAGCAGTAAAGCAGAGTGGAGGCAGTGTTATGGTGCAGGTCAGGGCTCAGAGGCAGAGGAAAGGGAACATATCTACACTTTAAACAGACAAACCAAAGCTTCTAGTGCTCTCTGCTGCTTCCCAACCAGTGTTTGCTGTCTAATCTTCACTGCATTTCAGGAATTCAAACCTTTAACTGTTCTAATGGTGGAATGCTCTTATCACATAAAACTGTTCTGAGCTGCAAAAAATCTCTATAAAATAGTTAGAGAGATAGAAATATTAATGCAGAACTGTGTTCCAGTAAAAATAACAGAAATAACATCTGTTAGTGTAGACATCCTGGGTGAATCAACATCGTTTTTTAGGTGCAGAGACCCGTTAGCATGCAGTTCTCCAGGATATGGAGCAGTCCTTGCTCTCTGGATTAAGAGCCACATCCTGATTACACACCTGAACATCCTCCTCTGAACCAACATTCAGTAAACCAACTTTTATTCATTGTGTTCAACACAGCAGGAAGTGCTTTTATTTTGATAAACTGGAAGTGACATTTTTCTGCCTGTTAGCAGAGAGAATATTTAGTCTGAGGAACAAATGATTTGACCCATTAACAGCCTGCAGGGGGCTCCCTTACTGGTTGGTATCCATCCATCCATCCATCCATCCATCCATTCATCCATCATCCATCCATCCATCCATCCATCCATCATCATTATTTTATCCATCCATCCATCATCCATCCATCCATCCATCCATCCATCATCC